TTCCTTCCCTTTTAGAAACAAAAAAGCCTTTATCCTGCCATCAGTCAAGCTCCTACCCTGTCCCTCCTTCCTTTTGTCTCCAAACTTCTTAAAAGGGTATCTCCACTTACTGGTTCGTTGCTGGTTCATTAGACCCTGAGAATTTGGCTTTCACTCTGCTGCATACCAACTGCAGTGACTCTTTCCCCTCTGCTCTGTTCAGCAGCACTGATCACTCCCTGAGAAGCTTGGTGACTACAGCACACAGGCTCTCTCTGTTCTGGCGCTGCGTTCCTGCGCTCACAGGCCTCTGTGTGGCACATACTGTATGCTGGGCACTGTACTAGGAACTGTTGAGCTTACACAGATGAGTACACGATAGACCCTACCCTCAAATAACTTATATTCTAGGGAGAGAGAGGGGGCAGGCACATATGCACCTATCATGCTTCATGCATGATGGTTAATTTACTGAGCAAAAGGCGCCTTTTGATGTATCTTGAACCTTCCTCTTGATATAATAATGGAGTGGTTGAAAAAGCCCTGCCCTTGATAAACCAAAAAGTATCATTAGAGACACAAAGTGATATGGGTGTTCACAGCAAGAGCACTTCAAGCCCAGAGATGGGAAAGCTCTAATGAAGGGAAATCATCATCACCTGCTTTGTGCTTTAGTCAGTCACATAGGTCTGTCTCAGGCTGTCTTGGGGTAGAGATGGTCCTCTTCTTCCCCATGGAGTCGTGTAAAGTAGGTGTTCAAGAGAAATTAAGTGGCACTGGAATGAACCCACACCCACCCTGCGCGTCCCCCGCTCCCCCACCAAAAAAGGAAGAAGAAATAGAAGAAAAAGGCAGAGTAGTAGAAGAAAAAACAATTATGAGGTACACATACCTTGCTCTCCTCTTCTTGGGGCTGTGTTGCCTTGGCACCAAACTTTGCCTTTTGTTTTCATACCTTCTAGCTGGCTGTGGACATCAGATATATCTGTGATATATGTGTGTGGGAAATTTGTCCATTTTACAAATAGAGGCCTTGAAAACTGGTTTATCAAAGTCGTTTTTTCACTCAATGAAATAACATATTAGTGAGTCCAGGGATGCTGCTAAACCTCTTACAGTGCATAGGGCAGCCCTCATAACAAAGAACTATCTGGTCCAAAATGTCAGTGGTGCCAAGCTTACAAAACCTCGTCTAGGGTATACAAGCCAGGCAGCCACAGGAATTTTTGCAGTGATGTACATTAGTTGTTTCTTGTCTAACTGTATATGAGTATAAAATATGCAGTGATAGAGGGTGGGCCATTATCCTTCCTCAGAAAAGTCCATATGGAAAAGGATAAATGGTGATTTATATGATTTTTTTCTTTTTTTTAATTGAAGTATAGTTAATTTACAATGTTGTGTTAGTTTCTGGTGTACAGCAAAGTGATTCAGATATCTATATATTTTCCCATTATAGTTTATTACAAGATATTGAATACCGTTCCCTGTACTATACAATGGGACTTTGTTTATCTGTTTTATATGTAGTAGTTTGTATCTGCTAATCCCGAACTCCTACTTTACCCCCCCCCGTCCCTTTTCCTCTTTGGTAACCGTTAGTTTGTTTCCTATGTCTGTGAGTCTGTTTCTGTTTTGTAAACAAGTCCATTTGTATCATATTTTAGATTCCACATATAAGTGATATCATATTTGTTTTTCTCTGTCTGACTTATTCTACTTAGTATGATAATCTCTAGGTCCATCCATGTTGCTGCAAATGGCATTATTTCATTCTTTTTTATGGCTGAGTAGTATTCCATTGTGTGTGTGTGTGTGTGTGTGTGTGTGTGTACATCACATCTTTATCCATTCATCTGTCAGTGGACACTTAGGTTGCTTCCATGTCTTGTCTGTTGTAAATAGTGCTGCTGTGAACACTGGGGTACATGTATCTTTTCGAATTTGAGTTTTTCCAGATATATGCCTAGGAGTGGGATTGCTGGATCATATGGTAACTCTACTTTTGTTTTTTAAGGGACCTCCATACTGTTCTCCATGGTGGCTGCACCAATTTACATTCCCACCAACAGTGCAAGAGTGTTCCCTTTTCTTCACACTCTCTCCAGCATTTATTGTTTGCAGACTTTTTGATGATGGCCATTCTGACTGGTGTGAGGTGATACCTCATTGTAGTTTTGATTTGCATTTCTATAATAATTAGCGATGTTGAGCATCTTTTCATGTGCTTCTTGGCCATCTGTATGTCTTGTTTGGGGAAATGTCTATTTAGATCTTCTGCCCATTTTTTGATTGGGTTGTTTGTTTTTTTGTTATTGAATTGTGTGAGCTGCTTGTATATTTTGGAAATTAATCCCTTGTCGGTCGCATCATTTGCAAATAGTTTCTCCCAGTCCGTAGGCTGTCTGTGATATATATGATTTGCTACCTGGGGGTATGTAGCTGGAACCAGGAGTCTTGAGTTCCACAATGAAGCTGCTTCCTCCCCTGAGTCAGCGGAACCCGACACCATTGCACCCAGTCACGTGGCTGAGGAAGGGATGAAGTTTTGGCTTTAGTGAATCAGGGAAAGGAGTACTTTTTAACGAACATAGTTATGTCAGAAAGTTGCCTTTTATTCTAAATAACTTCTTCACTTGAAAATAACCTTTTCTTTCCTCATTGATTTGGCCTTTTCACTGACATTGCATGCTGCCATGAGGATGTTATTACCTGTATGGTAACAAGGAAGTCCAAACAAAGGATGGTGGCAACGCCTCTGAGAGTGTGGCAGTTACCACCAGGATCTTTGTTTAAAACAAAACAGTGAGTGACACTTAGGTTTTGTGTTTATTATACATGAATGTGATGATTCCAGATCTGAGCTGGACATGTTCAGAAAATGGTTTGTTCTTTAAAAAAGAAGTGTCTGAAAATAAATTCCATTATGTGCTTTAAATGCTAGATCAAGGACTTTGGGGAAGGTTTATAAAGGATTTATAAAAGGGACATTATATCCTCTGATATACCCAGTAGTAAGAGAATTTGCTTGCCCTTTTGGTTTCCATGATGCTTCATCTCTGCAGAGTTCAACATTTTAATTCTTAAAATGCCGAGGTTAATATGCCTAAGATAGTATCTGGAATAGAGTCTGCAAGAATGCCCGCTAAGTTTCCTCCAGTGACAGTCGGCTGGGCCACTGTTGGGTGTCAGCGTTTTCCCGGATCTGGTTCACAAGCAATCATGTACCCATCTTGATTACACAAATTATATTTAACAACTGCTCTTTGTGAACGCCCATTCCTATGTAATTTAATCCTAATTAAATAAATCCTCTCTAATCCTTACCGCAACCCTTCAGGGCAGGGATTATTACCCTCATTTTGCAGAGGAGAAAACTGAGACTTATGTGAATTGCCTAGGGCCACACAATTAATAAGTGGCAAGGACAGTGCTTGAACCCATGCTTGTCTGATTCCAAAGCCCCTTTCAAACAACAACCCCCTATAATCACTGTGCTAACCTGGGACTACGTACGTTCATTCATTCGTTCAGTCATTCAACAAATATTTATTGAACATCTAGTGTGTGTCAGAAATGGTTAAAATAGTCACTGAGGATACAGAAGGGAACAAAATAGACTAAGATCCCTTCCCTCGTGGTGTTTCTAGTCTACGGAAGGAGACACATAATAAGTATATAACATGTCACGTGGTGATATGTGATACAGAGACAAAGCAAGGAAGAGGGAAAGAGTTCTGGTTAAGTGGTGGAGGTTGCAGCCTAACACAGGGCGGTGAGAGAAGGCCTTCCTGAGAAGATGACATTTGAGAAAAGACCCACGCGGATGAGGCTGAGGATCATGGGGTCAGTCGCCTGGGGAAAAGCGTGGCAGACAAAGACACCAGTGCTGAGGCCCTGGAGGGAACTGTGCCTAGCGTGTATGAGGAAGGCCCATGTGGCTGGAGCGGACTGCACAAGGCGCAGAGCAGCAGGATTTGAGGCCAGGGAGACGAGGGGTAAAGGAAAGGACAGGTGGTGAAGACTGCCAGCCCATTAGTAAGGACGCTGGCTTTTACTGAGATGAGAACCCATTTGAAGGTTTTGAGCACCGGATGGCATGGTGTAACCTAACATTTTTAGAGGATTATTCTAGTCTAGCTGCTGTGTGCAGATATTTGGAGGGCGAGGACAGGAAACAGGAGACCAGTTAGGGGGCTACTGCAGTTATCCAGGGGAGAAATGACTGGCCTGCACAACAGTATTAACAGCGCACGTGAGGAGAAGGGGTTAGACTGGGTGTGTCTTGGAAGGTGTAGCCAGCAGATTTGCTGATGGGCCAAGATTTTTGACCTGAGCAACTGGGATGATGTACCATTTACCGAGGTGGAAAAGCCTAAAAGGAGAAGCAGTCAGGGGAGACCAGGCATTTATTTGAGGGCATGTTAAATTTGATTTGGGATATTTTAAAGGTCCCCACTGCACACCCGAATGGAGCTTTTAATGGACAGCTGAATATATGAGTCTGGAGATCAGAGAAGAGGTACAGACTGGAGACACAAATTGTAAAAGTCATCAGTTGACACATAGCATTTAAATCCATGAGACTGCATTGAAGTAACATGCATTATTGGTTTGAGTCAAGGATAGTCAAATCCATGAACTAGAACTGTGCCTACTTTTTAGAGGTGATTACCCCATGAAGGTGGCCTCATAATGATGTTCCATCATCTGTGAAAACATTGCCAGTAACCCCCAGAGAATTAGCCAGAACTGCTCATATTAAAGGAACTGACTGTGACCAAAACTCAATCTGCCTGTATGGCTCCAGTGAATTTCTAAGACGTACAGTATAAGATCAGAGAGGAAATGGTGGGATCCAGGATTATGCAAGAGACCCAAGAATTCATGAGTCAAGTGGGTGTTGAAAGGTCATTGAAGGGACACAGAGAAGCATCTAGAATGAGCAATACATTTATAAAGAGAAAGAAAATGTAGTCATAGTACCTTAACAGAACTTTGTTGATTTGCCTGCAAAATAGGAAAACAGAAACTGAAGAAAAGTTACCTTCAAAGTAGAAAAGGACCAGCTGGAAGGAGATGAACTCGTCACCATCTCCGCCGTGCTCGGTCCGGAGGGAGTGGGATAGAAACACACAGAGGGGTTCAGGTATGGTCAACTCTGGGGCTTCCCGGGGGCTGAGGGGGTCTCCTGGGACACAGGACTTCCCATGCTGAAACCAGGGCAGTCCTGGGCAAAGCAGGATGCGTGGTCACCCTGTGTCCAGGCCAGAAAGACTTCCTGGAACTGAGTAGTTTGGCAGTGGAATAGAAAACAACTTATTTAAATTTAATCTGACAGATGTAATCAAAATCTCTTGGTGATTATTTCCCACCCTGAGTGCTCACATGCTTAACCCTTTAATTTCTGGAGGGATTTCAGAATGCCTTCTGGTACACAGTGACTTCTGATGGGACCTGTCGACCAGCCCCACGGCTTGGAAGCACAGTGTAGGATTAAAAGGAGTGTTTGTGACAGAGGAACATCATTATGACTTCAGACAGGCTGCAGTGGCCTTTTGAGGCCAAAGGACCATCTCTGAGGACAGACAAGACCAGGTACTGGAGGTCTGTTGATCACTCTGCGGGCACGTCTTCTGTGGCGGGAATTGAGGCGCACACACACCACACACACAGAGTCTCAGTTTAGACATCATTTCTGGTGCTTTTCCTCTGGTCACCTTCACTCATCCTTGCATTTTGGGAGTCCCAGTCACCGCGTTCAGTTAGGGCAGGACTTATGTTTTGCTCACCTTTAAACCCCCATGGTCTTACCCACTGCTGGGTATAGAGTAGAGGTACAATAATCATTGAATGACTGAGGAGAATTCCTCCTTTTTTTCTTTTTTTTTATTATTTATCATCACTTTTCCTAAAAAACTTGTATTTCCTAGGTGTGAATCCAATCCACAGCATATTATGTTATATAGAGCTTACTCTGTAACTGAGCAAGAAAGCAAAAAGGAGATAACGTACTGGATATAATGACCGAGTGCGATGACTTTGTAGAGCCCCAGAAAGTCAGCCCTAGGAGGGATCATCCAGTTTGACCATCTTGTCAAATCCTCTCATTTTACAGGTAAGAAAGGGAGTTCCGGATGGATGAAGTGACTGAGGTCACACAGCCAGGTGTGGCAGAGCTAAGATTAAAACCTGGTTTTTGGTTTATATTGTGATTTAGTAGGAAACCCTCCCAATATCCTCCTTCAGATACACTGCTCTGTTGACTTTTTCTTTTTAAGCAGTAATTTTAACTCTTTCTCTGATCTTCCGGTTTCTGTCCTTAGACCCCAAGGTCCTCTAGGGCTTGGCTATAAAGGATAATGAGACAACAGTTGTAGAAATAGTAGCAGGGCCCTCTCAGCGGTTTACCAAAAGCCAGGGAGCCCACTCTGAAAAGAACAAAATCCATCACCCCTTGTGAATGAACCCACCACACACGCCCCAGCCCCCCAACACACCCAACTCAGTAACACACGACAAAAGACAGCACAGCACACACACCAACTTTTGCCACTTTTGTATTTTATTGTGGAACTGAGGTGTTTTTTTTTCTTTTACATCAAATATCCTCAATGGAAGAGGGGATATTGCACACAAATATCATAAAAGCACTACATATTACTTTCACTGGAAACTAATTTTCTACATTAGATATGACTGGATAGGATAGAAGTGATGCAGGATTATAAGACATAATACCATACACAGCTGCAGACTGACACAAACACCATTCAGAACAAGAGAGAGGAGTGGGAGGTGCTTCTCAGCCAGGCTCAAGACCATGTCCTTCCAGGGTGGAAGGAGAAGGGCTGCATGCAGCGCCATAAGCCTGACTCAGTGCCGCAGGGGCGTTCTGAAAAGGGCAGCCCCGGTCTTGATGCCCCATCTCGATGGCTCCTTTTTAGGGGAGCTCCAAATGAGTGCAGAGAAGCTATTTATTTCTTCCCTTCCTTTTCAGTTGTTGATGCTGCCTTTTAAATTAATAAAGTCACAGATTTTTTTTTCATAGTAAATAGTTTTAATACCAGGTGAATAACCTAATTGCTTTCAAAGAAATGCTCACCCCCTAGGCTGCTTTTGGTGTGTTGTTCAGTTGGTTAAAAGATAAAAGCTTACAGTTCCTTTCAGATGGAAACAGGGTCTTTTCTTCTAAATCTGAAGCGCAAAAAAAAAGTTATTAATCTAACTCACAATGTCATTACTGAGCAAGAACCTCCTGTGACAGGTGACTAAAGAGGCAAGAAAAGCAATTTTAGAATTGTAGAGCAGCTCCTGAGAGCTGAAATTTGGTAACAGGGAAAATGGGAAGTGATAAAATTTCCATTAGCAAATGATTAAATCTTATTAAATAAGTACTGGAAAGCTCCTAAACTGTGTAAGCTATTGGAGACACTTAAAACATTCATATACACTGGGGAAACCATTCACTATGATATGTAAGGTTAAGAAAAAAAAAACATTTTTTTTTGGAACACCATGGAAAATGGCATTTAAGGGTTGGGAAGGGAGGGGAGGGTCAGTCACTGTATCCAGCCCCACCACAAGACTGGGAAAGCATGCACAGGGATTGGGTTTTGAGAAAGGGGATAGAATTAGTTAAAATTGAAAATGGAGGATCATCTCTAACGTTTAGTCTCTGTAGAATTTTAAGAATACTACCAAAAAGTTCATGATCATGAGTGCTATCTCGATGGAATCCCATCATTTAAACAGAGTGTAAATTCCTTTCACTCAAATATTCAATCTATACAATTGGATTAAGTAATCAGTATGAATAAAGCTCCTAGAAGTCTGTGTCAATCTTTAGCTCTCACCATGAATGTACATGGTACATTGTGATGGCTGTTACTAAACTAATCGTGTATTTATGAAACTAGCAAAATTAGGTTAGTCACACAGGTAGGAAAGGTGTCTGGAAGGACAGGAGCAACCTGTAATGTAAATATTGGTGTTCCTGTTATATTCAGGCTCTGTGGTCATCACTGAGAACAATGGATGGAGAAAGGTACTGATCTATTTCATAGGAAAAAGAGCCAGCTGACCAGTGACAGCTTTTGTATATTTTTTCCATTAAATTCCATAGCAAAAAAGAAAAGAAAAAAAAAAGGAGTGGGATAGAATGGTTATAATTGAAGACTGGCTATAATTTTCCTAAAATGTTTGGTTTTTTTCTTAAAGCAAAATAATGTACATGTTAAATAAATTTAATTTGGGAAATTGGAAAATAATTCCATCTTCTATCAAAGAAAAATCAACCAGAGGTCTGGATTTGGCAAGAAGGCTGGAAATCTGTTTCTCTTCCAATGCATCATGTGAACCAACTTAACTAATTATTAAATAATCACCTTGAGAGTCTTAGGTTGTCTCTTAAAATACCTTTTAAGTAGGTGAGTTTATACTCACTGAAATCCTTTTTTGTCACAATGTGTTTTCCATCGTGTGCTCGTTTTTTTGTACCCTAAATCAATGCGTTGTTCTTAAGGACTTCAAAGAAATAGGGTAATAAATAAAAGCTGCATTTCTAGAGAAGCCTAAAAAAAAATAGAATATTAATTTTTTTAAAAAATTAAACATTTGAAAAACGTAATTCACAGCATTAAGTAGACTGCATTAGGTCCTCGGTGAAGGGACCCGGAAGAAGCATTGTTTAAACCCTCATAGTAGTTAGCAGTGCAAAACACACACTTATCAGACAAAAATAAACTAAAATGTTAATTCTGAAATAAATAACTAACATAGAAAATAAAACGAGGTGATTGTTGACTACTCCATAGATCTTAGAGTCTGCAGGAGACGCAACTCGACAGAGCCCAGCACAGCTGTCACTGAAAAGTTTGCCACATCTGAACACCGGGTGCGTTGATCTGCAACTTGAAACTTAACGTCAGTTTTAATCATGATCTGGCTTCCCAGGTTCATAGTTCAATGATGACAATGATGGAAATGATCTCTGAACTCTACATGATGAACCGTAGGAGTTGGGAATTCATTTGTTTTCAACGTATTTTTCTTTGTTTTTTTTTTCCAAAAAAGAAAATCCCCAAGCAAATTTTTGCTAGGGTTCTTTGAACTTGTCTTGGCTCTTTTACCTCATGGTTGAAGATCTTGAAAGAAGTACGTAGGATACCACTGGGTGATGTACTCGTAAAGGCCTGGAAAAGTAGCCATTCTCCCCCACTCTAAGATAGCACATACTCAAAGATTTTTGTTATGGGACTCAAGGGGTGGGAGGTATCACTATTCCTGGTAGCGATGGGCTTTTAATAAATATTATTACTGCAATATCAGACTTCAATCTCACCAGAACTTCAAAAAACATTATTCATTTTTTTTGTCTTACGAAACACTAAAAAAAAAAGACTGTCACTTGAAAATTTTCTTTGCATTTTCCTGTAAATGAAAACATTTGTTAAAAAGTTCATCTATGAAAAGTTCTCACATATCTAAAAAAAAAAAATTCTTCTGTACACTTGTTCCCATAATTATGCTGAACTTAATGGAAAATTAAAAAAAAAAAAAAAGCCAATGTAAGACGAGGGAAGCTAAATACTGTACACTTGCTGAGAACCTCTTCCACCATTAAGATTCACTGTTTTCCCAGTTCTGATCATAGAAGCCGTTTCAGTCTTGAACTTGCAGTAGTAAAGAAGCTGTGAAAGGCTCAACTTGCTTGGCTGAGGGGCCTGAGGTGGTATTCAACACGCAATGCTCAGCATCAGACTGTTGCACCAATCAGGTAAGCTCCTAGTACCCCTCCCACGCGCACACACATGCTCCTTTAACTGGAGTATCTATAATCCTACACGGATGTTTTATAAACTCGCTGTCTCACATTAAAAAATAAGTGCATCAAGTATCTTTGTACATTCAAGTCACTTCCTAAGGCAAATTGTCTACCGTATGTACTCCCAACTGCTTTGGTATTTGCTTGTTTATCGGGGTGGACTTGGGTGTCTCCACATGCAGGTTAATTGACTCAGAGTGGACTAACTGGGTGCACAGATGCTGGGAGCATGCCTTAGATCAATCTACTCGTGTGTTTGAAGAGTCTGAGAGTTCTGAATGGGGTTCAAACCACTTGCATGTCCAGTCTACACTCACTACGTTTTGTCAGTGTGCAGCCTTCAAGCTGAAGGAGCTTATTTAATTAAGGCGTGAAAAATCTCACATGCCTTCATTACAAGTTTTGTTCTTTTCCGTTTTCTTCCAGCCAACTTGTTTTAGGAAATTAAGACCGTTTTTGATGACTCAGACTGACACAAGTTGCAAACTTTGCCTGTGCAAACTACAGAATAGACAATGCAGACCTAACTAATGGTTATTTTCTCTTCTCTGCCCCACCCTGCTCTCTCTTTCTCTCTGGTATCTCACCAGCATTCTCTACCATTACATCTCCTCCTCTTGCATTCTTTTTCTCTTTCTCATTTTCTCTCTCTCTCTCTCTGTTCTGCGTTCCCTCTCTTTTGTGCGTGCGCGCTCTCTCTCTCTTTCTCTCTCTAAGACAGATGCCTCTACCTAGCAGAAATCAGTTGGGTTTGCTAGTGCATGGTTTCCAAATGTTCAGCAGAGATGAACTGGGGTAGGTAATTTTGCAGTAACTTGAACCCTAGTGTGGGAAGACTGCTACTTCCCTTAGCAATCAGCAAAAACTGAGAAATATTAGTGACTTGTATCACCATGACACAGTATAGCGTTTGGCAGGTAACAGTTCAGCGACTTATTTAGGTGAATTGACTTTTGTTAGAAAAGGTGGTTTCAAACTGAAGAATTTCTGGAAACAAAGTTCAAACCCTGTGGTGCGGCTGGTCTGGTTGTTACAGTTCAATCTTACATGCAGGGAAGGACTCGTCTTGCATAACCACGGTACTGCTGCTTGCTAAAACCATGATGTTGAGCTCCTGCTGTTTCTCATGGGTCTCCTGGTACCATTCCCTCATCACTTCCGAGTCATGCGTTGGGATCAGGGTCACCTGCAGGGAGAGAAAAAACAGCTGCTGAAGAGCAGAACCGGAAATCGGATGAAAAACAAACAGAACAGCGAGGTATTAGACCATTAGAAAAAGAAGGGCAAAGAGAAAAATCTTCTATTGTCCTTAGGAAATTCAAAGAATTTTTCAACTTAACGTTTTCTAGGAACCAGAATAAAGCTGCCAAAAAATCAGTTTTTCTGGGGGAGCTGGACACTGGAACCAAAAGCACGTCATGACTAGCTAATTAGTTTATCAATGAGTCGTCGGTTTTTCAGTTCTTTAGTGTTAAGAGAAGTGCTTCGGTTAAGGTGGAATTTCTTGTATTTCCTTTAACATAACTGATCCTAAGAACAAACGTTTGTATCTTTAATTTGTGTGTGTGCTTAGGGGCAGAGGAGTTGGGTGGGTAGGCGGGCACTGGCTTGAACAGTAAAAATTCCACCTCGTATTCAGTAAGAGGCCACTGGGTGTTTCTCATTAGATTTCATATGATGAAATAACCAGCATTTCTATTCAATGTTATGCAAGCACAGTTTACTGAATGACTGTACAAAACCATAAGGAAAACTTAGATAAGCAAAAACCATAGCTGACATAGTATTAAGAGTGGTTCGTGCCTAGTTATGATGCTTGGGAGCCGGGAGTATCCTGCTGGGGACCATTTTCAGCAGTGCCCCTCCTGCAGCATCTCACTGGACAGCCGATTTTCTAAACGGCCATATTCCAGGCTTTGGTCTACTTGTGAAGCACAAAGGAGTAAAGACAAGTCCTCATCCGCATAACATGGAAGTATGACCACTTGGTTACACTGGTTAATATTCTTGGTATATTAGGGTGAAGGGCAAGTAATCTTGGTCCCATTTTGCAGATAAATGTATTATGCTTTAGGGTGGTAAAGTGGCTTTCCTCCAAGTCCCTGGTGGCTGGTGGTAACAAGAATACTTTTAGACCGCCTTCTGTGTGTTAAGTCCACTTCGTCCTCAGGACAGTTTGTATGTGGCAGACCCCCCGGGGTACCTCAGGTGGATCCACAGTCATAATGGTGCCTCATTAAACATGATCCCTTCCCTCTGCCTCTGGACACAGCTCCATGTGCAGTGCGGACACTGTCCCGGAGCTCTTACCTGCATGTTGCTGCCCCACTGGGCCTTCCCTTCCAACAAGGCGTCCAGGACAGCCCGGCTGGGCTCCTCAGCAGCGGGGTCATTCCCACTCACCACGTAGTAGGACGACCTCACTCTCTTGAAAAATTCAACATCGACGTTCTTACTATTGCTGTGGTTGGGAATATAGCACAGGTCCAAGTACACAGGGGGGCCTGGAGGCACAGCTGAGGGCTTGGATGTCTTGGTGTTTCCTGGCCCTTCAGTAAATGAACAAAAATAAAGAGAAAGCCCGGGTCACAGGAATGCGAAGAGACCCATCTGTCCAGTGCACCTTCCCTACTCCTTCCCGAGAAGGCCCTCTAGGACGTGGGGAGGGGGTACTGGGCATTCCCCTCTCTCATAGAGGGCATTTAACACTGGCAGTTTGAGAAAATATGACCTGGTTGTTTACCATCTCAACAGGAGAACTGAAGAATGGAATGTTTCCCTTTGTGGACAACCCATTAGGAAGAAGAGTTCAGGCCTTCCTCAAAGATGGAACTAGGTAATAACACTCCTTCTGAAAGAGCTACTAATGTGCATTTCAATTTGAAAAGTGGTCTAAGAAACAGATTTCTAAAGGACAAAGGAAAATATCTGCATTTGGTAAAACACAGTTAAGCAATCTTTGTAATCCAGTTAAGATCTCATTTGAAAGCAATTTTGCCCACAGCTGAATATTATACCCTCACATTCGGCCTAGCCAGTGGTCAGATCTTAATTAACATCATATGATTTCCAAGACCCTCAGCACCTCAACCTCATTCATAAACTGATGAAACACTGTATTCTCTCCTTAGGACAGTACTCTAAAATGTGAGACGTCTCTCCTTAGACAAGATCGGATACCAAACTTTGGCAAGAGGAAGGGTCAGAAAGACTAGGCTTTCTCTAGCCAATCAGGACATACCAGACTGAGGTCAGGGGCACGTAGCAGCCAAAATTCCCAGTCTAAATCAGAAAGCCCGGGCAAAGTAAAGATTCAGACTAACCCCAAAGTTTCTGGGCACCTTGTCTGGTGAGCTGGCTTTCTGATTTGTTCTAATTAGAAGGTTTAAACTTTTTGAAACATTAATACAACTAGCATTCTAAGGCAGTGATTCTTTCCCTGGCCACATGATTAGAATCACTCAGCATGCTTAATACCAGGCCCCAGGCCCCAGAGTCTGGCTTAACTGGGCTGGGCACCACCATTTTTTAAAAGCACCCCAGCTGATGCTAGTGTGTATCTGGTTTGAGACCACTGCTGTAAAGCCATTTAAAATACTAGCTAGATCCTATATATTTAATCCTCTTGCCTTTCTCCATGGGATGTATAGAGGCTGTCATCCCAGAGTCAAAACCAGCAGTGAACTGGTCTAGTTTTATTTTCAGGGAAACTGGTATTTGGATAAACCGACTCATTTTATGAACAGATTAGCCAGCCTTTATAATGAACCTAAGCTAAAAGCCCTCAACATATCCATGTGTAAGTCTCCCCGAGAATTCTGACTTGTAACAGAAGTTTGTGAGTTACATTTCTTCTCATATTTAAAAATGTCTGCGGTTTCCCCTTGCACACTAAATCACTCCCATCAACACCCTTGAACATTGCTCACAGCAGCCCAAGCCAGACATCGACCCAGGTTTGTTTTAAAATTAATTAATAGTGCAATTTTATCTTTTTAAAAAACTACTGGGGAAGCATCTTCAAAGTAAGTTCAAATTAACTCACTTTGCCTCAAAATTCTCTCTTTAAGTGACCAAAAAAAAAAAAAAGTTTAAAAAATAAATCAATTGTGAGGGCTGGAGTGTATGTTCAGCAAGTTTGGTAGCAGATTTCAATTGGATTTTATCTGTTTGGATGGATTTCATGTTTTCTCCTAAGTGCAGGTCAAGTTGTCAAGTCCTTTAGATCAAGGAGTTAATTATCTGGTGGTTTTCCATTAAGTCTAAGCATGAACAAATTCAGTTTGTTTTCTACATGCAAGTGAAAAAAGAGGAAACCTGCTAAGACCTGAGTCTTGAAATTGATGCTCCATGCTGCTTAAAAGTAAAAATTTGTACCTGTAACTAATACTTCCTAAAATGTACTGAATTTGAGAGTCCCAAAGGTTCATCTCTCAGATTTTCCATATTAAATCAAGGAAGTGTTGCTTAAATTACTGTTTGATTTACATGAATTCAAATCCCTGTAATTGGTTTGAAGCAACAAAATGAAGCTGGGCCATCAGAGACCTGTTCCATCAAAAACCCAGGTCATTGCTGAGACCTTGATAAGTCTAAGAATCTGAAGTCAGGGGTATCTGCTCTTGCCAAGTGGAATTTCGATCTGAAATAGAACGCTGAGTCTCTGTCAGTGAGGCCGTGTGGTCAGAATGGGATAAGTAGAGCCTTGGATGCTTTTCTGTCTATTTGTACTGGGTACCCAGTGGTCAACTGAATTCGCTGGTTGATCAAACAAAGCGTTGCCTTTAATGGGGATGCATCTCCAGCCTGGTAATTTTTTTCTATTTAAAAACTGTATAACTTTTAATTTTAAAATGTTATAACTTTATTTTAAATGTTTTTATTTTTTAAAAATGGGACCTAAATCTTGGACCTATGCTGCTTATTCCAGGCTTGGCTTGGAACTCTGGTTCTCCCTAGGCCTTTGAGAGCTCCTGGCCTGTGTCACCTCAGCTTGATTCTGGGGCCGGCATGGCCGAAGCCAATGCCAACAGAATCTTCCCGAGAAGCGTGAAACACACATCCTTGGTTCTGAAGATTCAGAACAAGGTTGCGGTTGCTGTGTTGCAAAAGGGAGCAAACCCAGGGGTCGCATCTGGGAAATCAGAGCTGCCCTGGGCCATAGGCTCAGCTACCGCCAGGCCTACAGGCTACACTGGGCTGAGATCTATACCTTTTGGCAGAAGAAAACAGTGAAGGGAAGGGAGAGCACCAAGTTGTGTTCTCTCACCTCCCCAGTACAAAGTCAAATGGAAATGCAGAGGCTGCAGTTACAAGTAGAACTGTCGTGTCCTGTACCAGGATGCCAGCACCTTCCACCTACCTGCAGTCGCCGTCTTTACCGATTTGGATGTGGAGGCATTCGCGGCATTCTTGGTCTCCTTGTCTTTCTCTTCTCCACGTGCGGCTTTGACCTCAGGAGTGGTGGTGGTGGTTTTTGTTGCTTTTTCCACAGATTCCTTCTTCTTAGGAGAAGCCACTCGGGACACCTTATCTGAGGATTCCTTCAAGGCCCCTGGCTTGGGTGAAGCTGCAGAGGGCTTGGACTTCCCATCACCCTTCTTGACAGGTGAGGATGACTTGGTCTTTGTACCTGGCTTTTTGGTTTTGGTCTTCTCCTTCAGGTCCTTCTTCAGAGCTTTGCCCAGGTTCTGCTCGATGGCCAAGGCCTCCGGGTCCATCATGGACACATCAGGGTGGCGTGGAGAAGGGCTGCGGTCCTGCATGGGGGCCGGAGGTGGATCCATGTGTTTGTACGTGACGGTTTTGTCTGTGGGGATGGTTTCTGATTCATCTTCCGAGTCGATATTTGCATCAGCTGTGATGGAGGGGCACTCTTCTGTCTCCGGGGGGACATCAGAGTCAGTCTGGGACGGGGCTGACTCGCTGACTGAGGTGGGAGGGGTTTCATCACATTGTCGGCCCTGGGGCTTTCCTCCAGGAGGTGGTGGGGCTCCCCCTGATTGGGTGAGGGGCTTCTCCGATTCTTCCGTTGGCTCTTCACTGGCAAACCACTCGAGAGGATTGGGATTAATGAAGGAGGGTGAAAGCTCCGTCTTGGGATGCTTGTATTCACAGGAGGACACAAGGCATAAGTCAACATCCTGGCGAGCCTCGGAGGGGGACTTCTTTTCAGCAGTGTAGCGCTGCTCTGAAGTCTCAAAGGCATATGTAGACGTCTGGGGGGTTCTAGCGCTTTTATCGGGGGTCTCATAACAGTATGCGGAGGTAACAGGGGTTCGTGTAGTTGTTGTCGATGTCTCATAGGAGTAACTTTCAGACCCGGGGAAACTGGCAGTTTTCTCAGTGGTCTCATAAGAGTAGCTGGAATCCCCAAGTGTGTGGCCACCCTCTTCAGAGTCGTCATAGCCATTGCTGATGTCATCCAGGAGCCTTTGAGACCGCTCAGTCTTTTCATAGCTGTAAGCACTCACTTCAGGGGTCCTTATTGTCTTCTCACTTATCTCGTATGCGTACCCAGACTCTTCAGGGCTCCGTGTGGGCTTTTCAGTAATTTCATAGACATAGCCACCATCTTCGGGAGTCTTGGTGGTTTTCTCAATGGTCTCATAGGAGTAGCCTCTGTCACATGGGGATTTGGTGGTGCCCTCTGTTTTCTCATAGTAATAGCCACTCACATCTGGGGTCCGGGTAGTTTTCTCGTAAACCTCATAGTCATAACCTTCTTCATCTGGGGACCTGGTTGTCTTCTCAGGTTTCTGATAGGCATAGCTGAAGTCTCCAGGTGTCTTCCCTCCACTGTCCTTCTCCAGGCTGGATGTGGTCAAATCTCTCTTCAAGGCTAGATGGTGTGGCATCGTATCAAATAACATGGAGGCACGGAAGCCATATGGCTCTGCAGATGCTGCACCCATTGGTGGGGGAGAGGCAGTGTGGCAAGCTGCTGTGCTCTCTTTGACTGCAGAGGTAGAGTCTGAAAAACTAGGGGAATACAAAGGAGAGGACTCTCTCGGGGTGAGTGGAGAGATATCAGATTTTGGTGAGAGCTTCTCGCCTTCCAGACTTTGCACTTTTTCAGTGGTGAGCGAGGCATATACGGATATATCTCTGGGAGGAACAACATCGGATAGAGTATCTTCTTGGAGAGGAGAAGCGATCTGAGAAGGGGTATGTGCGGAGGAGGTGGATGGGGAGGCCTCCACCTGAGAGACTGAGATGAGCTCAGAAAGATCATTATCTTGGGTGTAGGACGGCTCCTCCGTCGGTGGGATCTTGTGTGATAAACTAGAGTCCTGCATGTCAGAAGGACTGTAGTCCACCTCAGTTGGCCCATTTTCAGTGATGTGAAGCATACTTGCACCCACTGTAGGGTGATCTGGAGACTGACGACTGAAGTCCATAGCAAGGGAATGCTCAGGGGATTCCTGGCCAAATTCAATAGACATCGAGGATTGTTCAGATCTGTGGTCTTGAACTGGGGTCCTGGACTTGGCTGTTTTAGGGGAGAAGTCTGGTGGAGAAATTGACATCGGTCTTGGGCATTCTTCTTTAGACGGAGACATTTCTGTTTCCTGGAAAGTGGTAGGCGTTTGCACGACAGACACTGAAAGGGAGTCGTCTACTTCAGTGGAATGTGGGGAACCAACCTCAGCATGCAGCGAGGGAGACACGTCGTCTGTTGTCGGCTCTGGAAATGAGCTTGTAGCCACAGAAGCTGTGGAGACCGAGGCCACACCCTCCATGTGCGAGTATGTGTCTTCTGCCACACCCTCATCAACAGGGGTAGCTGACTTGTCTGAGATAGTGCCTTCAGAAATGGACATCTTAGTGTCTTCTTTAAAAGATCCAAACTGACCGACATCTATTTGTGTAGGCGAAACATCTCCTCCTAACTTCCTTTCATCTAAAGCCAGTCCTGCTTGAGAACTCATGGCTTCAACATCATCAGTTTTCTTTTCTTGACCAAAGTCTTCCTTTATCGGTATAAAGTCTGTGCTTTTCCCTTCCTGTTTGTCTGGGGAAAGACCAGTGGAAGTCATGTCAGAAACTGGACTTATTTGGTCTGGAAAGCCTTCTTTTCCATTCTTTCCTTCAAAGGGGCTTTCGGTACATCTCTCAGGAGCCTTGTCATCCGCACTTGGAAAACTTTCATATGCAGACTCAGAACCAATTAGGGGAGGGCTCCGTAAAGGAGACAAAACTTTTTCAATAGGAGACTCGGAGTCAGGCACAGGTTCATCCATGGGGCTTATGGAAGCCCTTTCACTCTCATCTTTGGCATCACTGAATTCAAAGCTCACTGGGACTGCCGCTGGTTTTTCAATGACCTCTGTGGGAAGGTGACTAGATTTCTCATCAGTGGGAGATTGGTAGTACGGTGTGTGGCCAGCACTGCCAGTCACAGACTGAGATGGAGACACCACTTCCAGGGTCTTATCCTCAGGACTGGCACAGTGTTCTTCCACTACTTCTTGGGTCACCTCCAGAGATGCTGGGACTACTTCTGCCTCTGCTGAGACTTTAATCTCACTGGGCGTCAGAGAAAAGTTCACGCTACGTTCACCCACCGGGGTCTTTTCTATGGGTGATGGTGGAGATGGACTCAGGGACGGGCTCTTGGGTGGGCTAAGTTTTTCATCTGAAACTGCTGAGACGATGTCTTTGATCTCCAGCGTGGCACTAGCTCTCACGTCTTTCTCTTCAGAGCAGTAGGCGTCACGTAGAGCAGACCTGCTGAATTTGTCTTCCTCCATGGACGAGGGTGGTGAGATGGTGGAGGCTGAAGCACTGTAGTCCTTGCCATCAGTGGCATCTGTTTTTGACCCTTCAGACAGTCCGTTGAGTGATGTCACAGCAGGTTTGGAGTATTCCTGAGGATACGGTGAAGGCTCGTATTTGGTGACGTTTACAAATTCTTGAGATGGGGACTCGGTCTCTTCATTGTTGGTCTCGTCGCTCATCACATCTCGAGGGGTAGACATCTCGTCCATGGGGGTGGGCTCGCTGGATATCTCAATGGTAGACTGGGTGTAGCCGGAGGTGGCAGTGAATTCTTCAGGCTGGTCTTCCCGATTCTCCTCGTCGGAGGCAGTGGCCTCACTCTCCGAGCCTCCGGGTAAAGTCTCATCGTGAATTGAAGATGCAGGTTCTTGGACAGGAGACTGGGCTCCCGCTAGCTTGGTGGGCGTGGTAAGGAATCCATACTGGTCCTCGGCGCCGCTAGCCTCCGCAGCCTTGTCGACCACGGCCATCACATAATCTTCAGCTTCAGCCTTTTCAGGCTCGTAGTCTTCCTCTCTGGCATCCTCGGCTCTGTCCTCCTCGTCGCCCTCCTCCTCGGATTGTTCAGCTTCTCCCTTCTCCAGCACCTCGTCCCTGTCTTCTTCTGCTCGGTCATCACCACTGGCCACCGACTCCCTCTTCTCCTTGACGTGCCCGTCGGCCTCAGCCTTGGCGCTCTCCTCCTCCGCCGCCAGGCTGTGCTTGGAGGCGCTCACACACACGCTCTCCTCTGCGTCCTCTTCTGGCTCCTCGGCCTCCTCGGTTTCCGCCTTCTCTTCATAGTCTCCGGTCTCGGAGGACTCCTCAAAACCTGCTCCTTCGTCTTCAAACTTTTCAGTGTCCTCCACCCCCTGCTTCTCGACGGGCTCCAGCTCCTCGGGGGTTTGCTCGCACTCACCCTCCCCTTCAGTGGTGGTGATTCCCTCATCGGGGGACTCAGCAGGACCTCTGGTAACTTCTGTCTCTTTCTGGATGACATAGGCTTCGACGGGCTCGCTTTCTTTCAGTTTCTCTTCATCTTCGATCAGCTCCAGCTGAGGCTGGATGTCTTTTGCTACGTCGACCTCTTCAGCCTTCAGCTCTTCAAAGTCCTTGGTCAGATCCTCGGGGGATGACATAAGGGACCTCTCGGCTTCGAGTTCTTTGGCGGGGCCAGCGGTCACTATTCCAGCTGCTGCCACCACAGCCGCCGCAGTGGCCATGGTGCCGGCAGCTGCGGCCACAGCCTCTGCGGCCTTGCCTTCCTTCTTAACGACTTTAATTTTCCCCTTCTCCTTCAGCTGCCCAGCAGCAACAGAATCTTTCTTGACAGTCTCTTCCTTCTTGGGTACTTTTGGTTTTAATGCAGCCGGTTTTTTTGCTTCAGATACGGGAGTAGGTGATTTCTTTGTGTCTTTAGGAAGTTTCTTAATTTCTTTTTTGGGTTCCTTTTCCTCCTTTTTAATTTCCTTCTTTTCCTCCTTCTTAACTTCCTTCTTGGCTTCCTTCAGTGGGGTTTCCTTCTTAACCTCTTTTTTGACTTCTTTTTTCTCTTCTTTCTTGATTTCTTTTTTGACTTCCTTTTTCACCTCTTCCTTTTTTGGTTTTTCCTCCTTCTTGACAGGTGTTTTGTCCTCTTTTTTAGCCACTTCTTTCTTTGGCTTTTCCTTTTCCTTCTCCTCTTTCTTTTCTTCGGGTTTTGCCTTTGTTTCCTTCTTCACAGTCTTCTCCTTGGTGACTTTGGGTTTGGCGTCTGTGCCTTGCTTTTCAGGCCCCTCGGCTTTGGCCGGAGGCAGCTCTTCTTTGCTGGGCACCTCCTTTTCTGTCACTGGAGGTTTGGTTTCTGTTTTTACTGGTTTGTCTTTTTTCACCGTAACCTTGTCTTTGCTTTCAACTTTGGGCGCCTTTTCCACGTGATTAGCTTTTGTGACTTCAGGGGTTTCTTCTTTTGACTCCTTTCGCCCAGATTTGCTGGGGAGTGGCTTTGCAGCTGGCTTCAGGCTCTCCCGGCTGTCGGCCCTCTGCTTCAGTTTTACTTGTTTCAGAGCAGGGGTGGCCACCTGGCCAGTTAGATCCTTCTGGGTGGCCAGTGGCTGTTTCAGGAAGTCCAAATGTTTGAGCTTTTCCAGTCCTTCCAGGATATTGTATTGGGTGCTGTTGCCAGGAAATAAGACTCGGATGATTTTCTCTGCAGGGTTTGCTGGATGCCACACGATCAAAGACGAGACTGAAGTTAAGTAGGAAATTGGGATGTCTATTTCTTGACCGTTAGGCAGGATTAGTTCAGCCTTGTCTTTGTTGGTGCCAGTCCACTGCTGCATAAAATACTGCATTTCCTTGCTGCTCTTGACTGGGTTAAGCACATACATCTCTAGTTTACCAACTCCCATTTTTTGGAAAAGAATGACAGGCTCAATGGTATTGCCTACACTTCTGAACAGAGGTTCTGGCTTCATGGACAATTTGTTTAGGTACTGGAGAGTGAAGCAAGCTTCTTCTATGCTTCTCTTCATCTTGATGTTTGGCTCTGGGTTTTTCAGATTTTCAGGTACATTGAGAAACACAACTCCTAAGTCGGGGGAGATGAGGTTTTTCATCCAGTCACTATTTGTGGTGGAGCCCTGGGACTGTTCTTCCTCGAGCTCTGCGATTTTCCGCTGGAGCACGCTGTTTATTCCAGGCAAATTGTCATCCCCAATGTGGGTGAGCAGGATGGAGTCCACTCGGTCCAAGTGTCGGATGAGCTTCCAGAAGCAGGATTTTCTTTCTGATCCTCCGTTGATGAGCATATTGAATCCATTCACTGCAAACAATGCAGAATCACCCCTCCCTCCTGGAAAAATGTAACAGCAGGGCTTGGATAGCTTCAGAAATCCACCTGACGTGGGAGGTTCTAGGATATCAAAGGGAGATGGGACTTCCACGGATTCTGAGAGATACTCGGTAAACTCGGAAAGTCCTTCCATCTCTGGCAATATAGAAGCGGAGTTGAGTTTAATATTGATGAAGTCTTGGAGATTATGTCTGTCAAGATTGGAGTTTTTCCAGTCCCCTTCTTCGGGACAGAAAAGGGTTAAGCTGGCTTTGTTGGCAGGATGGGTGGTACTCAGTAACTCCCCAATCTGGGATTTAAAAAATCATAAGAAACAAAGAAAGAAGAAGTTCAAGTGACTGTCATCACTGATCCATCCTCTCCATCTATTACTAGGTATTACAGGATCACTGGATGTACACAGGGCAAACGTCAGAGATGTTGGTTGGTAAATATTTCCATACTGGTAAGTGAACAGCCTCTGTCCTGACCACTCCTACCATTCCCTTCTCCCTCAACTCCCTACTCCGCTCCCCCCTGCCCCAGGCACCTCCCCCTCAGACCTCGCCACCATCTGTTCTTGCCCAGCAGGGGATCTTCAGAACTCTGCTCCACTTCTAAGACTAGTGACCATCTGGATGATCAGTGCCTGTGTGGTTATGAAATACTCTGGATACAACCCCTGGGTACTTGCCATGCAACAATGCCCTTTAAAAAGTAACAAACTATCACAGGGGATGGCTCACTGAGTCATTTCACCACTGATATGAAATGTTTTCTTTTATTCCACTGGGCTGGGCAAAAAGGACTGATGACACATTAAATGAATTTTGATATAGTGCACATGGGGTCAATTTTTAGAATTTGGTAGGTAGAGAAGAAAAAAGTTTGGTGGGGTTTTTTTTTGCATCTTGGAGACAGAAAGTTCTAGACTGCACATTACTACAAAAAATTACTGGTTCTGGCATCAGTTCACACTACGTAAAGCATGAGTAGTTCATCCAGCAGATTCTCTGCAAATACAGACACTCGGAAACCAAGATGGTCAGAGCAGTTGGATAATTATGTGAGCAAGGAGCCAAAATTTGTCCCCCATTTGCTCTTGTTTGAATCCAGGGTGAGATCTTCTACTCTATTACAACTCCTGGTCTTTTCAGGGCAAGCTGGGCATGAGTGGCTAACATCAAATCTGGCTGAAAAGTTTTCAACACATTGTTTAGTACTGCAGGATGCGAAATGCAGAAGAGTTAATTGGGACCAAAACAGAGACTGTGACTTAATGAAAATGCTGTTTTCTTTCTCACTCCATATTATGGCCCTATGCCTAGTAGGTAGTGAGGGAGAATCGTGCCATAAACTCCAGTCTTCTTCCTTCAGTTAACAGCAAAGCTCGTAAATCGGCTCAGCGTTTCCAGTGAAAAGAGCTCTGTGTCCTTAATGGTAAATGATGAGGGCAAAGCAAAGATTTCATTTGGTCCAGGCATCCCTGAGCCAGTGGGTCTAAACTCTTCCCTTCTAGTATTGGAGTGGTTTTCTCTGTCTCATACAACTTCCTGGATACCAGCGTTCTGAGGCTACTAGTATGAATGTTTAGAAGGGTTATAAAATCTGAATTTTCCAACGTTAGATTGCAGTAGAATAGCCATTTTTGTTTTGTTAGCCTATTTGTCCTACATTTTATGTGAAGGGTCACAAAACAACAAGTCTTTCTTTGACTTTGCTGTTTTCCTCTGACTTGATGATCTTCTATAAAAGGGATAAGAATCAACTATTTTGGAAGCTAAGAAAACTGATAAACAGCAAATGGTAGCCATCCATGGGGGGGGGGGTCTTTGCTCAAATATTTGCTGACCAAAGCAAACATCAGCACCAACTATGGTTTCCTGTCCAATAATCAGCATAGACCCACATCACCATCACTATAGAACAGTTAATTGTCTCAGTCCTAATTTTCACACAGAGCACATGCAAACTATTCATGTTTTATAACACATTTTTGAGGAGAAATCCAGGATAACTCAAACTGCTGAGTCTTTAATAGTGAAATGCAGAAATTAAGTTTAGTTCATTTTAATTTTTGAAATTCTACCCTGAGGGGTGTGGCAGGTAAAGGTATGGTCCAGCTGTGTGCAGGGGGTGTTCAGTCACTAGCTCTTTTTATGTGACGTAGGTAATCACCAACATCAAGGAGAAGGTAAAAGGACTTGTGGAATACCTCCTTACTTTCCATCTTTTCACCTCTACCCAGAGAGTTTCTATGAAACGAAGGAAATGACCCCCCCAAAGGAAACAAAGCTGTGCAGAATTCTGAGGAAGTCAAGGGCCTTGAAAAACAGCAAAGAGGCTGGTGAATGGAAAGCTATGACGTACAAGAGAAAGCAGAAAACAAAAGTCAGCACTGCCAGACAGGTTTTTTTTTTCACAGGGAAAATCCGGTTCCTTTGGAGAAGCAACAACGCACTGTGCGTGAGACAAGAACACAGTCTCAGGCTGGAGAGAACCCGTCATGAAAGAGACAGATGGAAAGGGTCCGGGAGGAGGAGGAAGAACAAGCGCTGCGGCCTTGGAGCAGCACAGCAGAAACAAAGCCCCGATATCCCCCCAGAACCGGCTTCCAGACCTGTGCCAGCACGTACACTGGAGAGACAGGGCCTCAAGGGCAAAGACCGGGTCTCACAAGCGCCCGCTCAACCAAGGGACAGGCGAGAGCAACGAGGAGGAGCCAACAATGTGAGCAGTGACAAGGGGACCTGTGAGTAGGTCCTAGACTCGGGACCTGAGGCTTCCTCTAAAAGGGTTTGCAAATCATCACCATGATAAATGCTAGCTAGTAGAGCCCGTTATACTAAAAGCTCCTGAATAGGCAGAAACACGTCTTCTCTATCTCTGTTACCTTTGTTTCCCCAGCACATCATCAGGCTCAGTCGATGTTTGTTGAACCTCACTGAACTTGGCCAGTTAAATACGTGCTGTCCTCCTGAAGTGGACACTTGGGAAGTGACCAGAGCCCACTAATACTTCTCAAGCACACTGACTCTGCTACCCTCCCCTTGTTCTTGCAAAGACGGGTGGGTGACATGACCAGAAGGAATATTGTTTGGGGCAAAGATAGCCCTTTTTGTTAATTACCTTTTCTAATTAGATGCAGGCATACTGGAAGAGGAAGGAAGATATAGGAAATAAATGACTTTACAGCAGATAACATTAATGAAATAAAATCGCAATTTCTAAACCATAGCCTACTAACTACATTTCCTTTTGTGGTTAGATTACTTGCTTGGCTAATGAGGAAATACAGCAGACAGCGTATCTGGGTTTTAGCAAGATGTTTAACAGGATCTCTGCACGGTGTGACAGTAGAACTGGGTGGTCCTAGCCAGCCATATAAATTCTGCTGCTCCACGTCAACCTGGAGGGAGGTCTGCGATGGGCTCGTTTATGTCCTGTTGGTATTGACGTGAATGAAAATGGTGAAGGCACGCTTATCAAATCTGCGGACAGCATGAAAACAGGAGACCTAGGCATTGTGGGGCGGCAGAATTAAGACATTTAGGAAAGCCATTGACATTGGGATGATGATGACTAAGTCACCTCTAACAGAGGTATTCTAAAGGGATAAATGTAAAGTCCAGTAAACCAGCTGGGAAAGCAGGATTGGGAGATGGGGCTTATCAACAACATCCATGGAAAAGACTCAGGGATTTTAGTTGACAGTCAAGTGCATTTATCATAAAGCTAAAGAAGTTTAAATTTCCAGGCTCCTCAGTGGCCTGGTCCCTCCCAAAGTCCTGTACTTAGTTGTGTATTAATAATTTTGTTTTCTTTTTCTTAAAGGGAACCCCCCCCCCCCCGCAAACTGTGTTAATTACAGAGCTTCTCAGAGCCTGCATCCCTTCTTCACTGACATTTAATTGTGGATGGTGATGGTCAAAAGTTAGTTTTAGACTTATTGAATAGAAAATTGTATTGAAAACTGTAGCAGTCACTGACCCTCACACTCCTAACCTGGTCAGTGACCCCTGGAGTATGGTGTCCAGTGTGAGTCATAGCATTTTAGAGAAACTGGACCAAAAACAAACAAACTGAAATTGCTCGCTCCTCCTCCTCGGCCTTAACCTCTAAACGCTAGACCTGGGCCCCCTTCTCTTCTAACACATTCCTCCCTCTAGACTACTTCATCTATTTTCTAATGTACCGATGGCTTCCACATTAATGTCTCTAGCCCACTCTTAGTTCCCTGAGCTCTGGACTCCTATATCTAATTGTCCGATAACGCCAAGGCACTGAAACATGGCCAAGAATGAGCTCCTGAGTTTCCCCCATCCCCACCCTACCCCCGTTTCCTGCCAATGGACAGTGACCAGAGAATGTAAGGAACTTTTAATATCTTGTTTCATGGAGAACACCGAGTAGATGAAAATGATTAATCTGGAGGGGAAAAAAATTGGCAGCACTGGTGAAGGGTGTTAAGACACTGTCAGGTGGAAAAGGGATCACATTCCTTCCATGAAGATACGATGAGACAAATGAGGAAAAACTTTCTAACAGAGAGAATGAAAAATGTCCCCAGGAGATGGTGATTTCACCATCCTCAGATTTCAGGGAGGGATGGGTTAGCCAGATGACTGTTCTATCTGTAGGCTCTGGTTTTGTCGTTGACCTCCAATGACTCACAAAAGCTGAAGCTCAAAATGCACTGATAATTCTATTTTTCAGTCCATTTATTTTTAGCTCTTCTTGTTAAAAAAAAAAAGTGTCATTTTTGGTTTTGCCAAATTGTGTTTCTGGTTTCTCTGGAGTGACTAGTATGTTTCAAGGACTAAATAAAAGGAGCAAGAGTAGCCATCAAACGGCCTTTAAGATCCCTTAGTTACTGAGTCATTCTGTACGCAAAACCTTCTCCCAAGGCAACAGTAGGCAGTCACGGCTCTAAAAGCCTGCTAACCATTGGCCTGCTCCGGTGGTTTCCAACCCACTCTGGCTACGGCATCTTTTCTCCCAAGTCCAGAATGTAGAAGAGGTAAAGGCCCAGGTACTCTGGCTGGGACAAGGGGAAGTGAGTGAATTCTACCCTGTGTCTCCCCCCAGCACCCCTGACACCACTGATCTAGTCTGTAAGGGAAAGTTCTAGAGATCTTTTAACGTATGTTGAGCATTACTTCCCCAAAGTATCGGGGTGGGGGTTACGGGGCCGGCAGAGGAGAATATGACAGAGCCTCTGGCCTTTAAAAGGCCTGCCTCGTATAATGAAAATGTGTGCCCTTCCGAGCACGCCTCAGTGATTAGAATTCAGCCCTTGCACGGAACTCCCATGTTCCAGTTAAAGCTGTTTCTCTTTCTTCTTTTTCTTCTGTAATTAGTGGTAAATTCTGATATATGCACAGTCCCTTGTGCTAAAATTCTACTTCTGTGGGCTAGTAAAAATGACTTAAGCAGCAATATTCACAACACTACCTTACTGACACTGCCTCATTTAAAGACAGAGAGAGAGGTATTATTTGGGGTCCAGATGGGTGGATTGTGATACCTCCAGATTTAAAATTCTGGCAATGACAAACCCTTTTGTTTACATATGTCCTCTGTTCTATTTTACTGTAAAAAAAAAAAAAAAGACAAACCAATGACATGGGGGTAGAAACCAACCACTAGAAACTAACTGTGGAACTGCACAGGAATGTAGGAGAGGCACCTGTGTTCACGTAAATGAGCTGAGGGTTCAGGGCTGAACTGAACCTAGAGCAAGCCAGTTAACCGCCCACCCGGTACTGGGCCACGGGGCTGTTTCCAGGCCTCTGCAGCCCTCTCCCTTGCCCAGGCCAAGGTGCTGATAGTGGGTGTGACCTCTGAGCTACCAGACAGATGCCCAGCTGGCCCTGGGCAGAACACGAACCTGGGGACACAATCTTGTGTAAGATTCTGACAATACAGTGATCACACACCCACCTCAGGGCAGCAGGGAGAGTGAGAATTAGAGCTCTGGCTTGGGAATCTCAATGCAATCAAACAAGGTTGTGAGGGAGCCCTGGGCCCTTTCTCACTGTGGGGGGAGCCTGGGCTATCTGCCTCGGGACCCAGATGACATCATAACTTCTGAAAGCTGGAGAAAAATGTTCCTTTTTATTCCTCCCCAGTGAGTGGAGAAACAGTGATGTCATCCGACCAGTCTTTCTACACAAAGCCTCCAGGTGAACCTAATGAAGCTGGGCAGTTTATTTACAGCTCTTGCCAATGATGGAAAGTACACAGAGGCCTCTCTGTGACTCTCCGGGCCAAGGAAGATTAAATGCAGAAAGACAGATGGCCCTTCCCAACATCCACGGGACTAAGACGCCGCCATCTCAGGAAGTTCTCAGGAAGATGGTTTTAAATAGATGTGGCAACTCCTCCTGTCAGCACGTCCCTCAACCTCTCCATGTAGAAACCTGCTATCAGCTACGGGCAGCCCCAAGCTGCTATGGTGACAGCCCTGAATTGTCACTCTAACTAGGAGACCAGAGGCGCGTTATTTTGCAAAGAGAAGTTTCCCAACCAGATAAATTCGCAAGCAGAAATAACCAAATTCAAATGTTCGATCTGATTTTACCAAATACCACTAGTATCCTATAATTTTCAAAACGCCACATGTATCATCCTTGAATAAGATATATTCGTTAGAAATATTAATGATCACGCTTCAGTCCAGCTATTTTAACCATCCTTCTCCTGGGGCATGGACATGTCCCATAGACACACCCCGTTTTCCTACATGCCTCCCTTTCTTGGGCTATTCAAGCAGCCCAAGTTCAAACACTGGGGCCAGGCATTAAAAGTAAGAGAAATCAGAAATTATTTGACCAGGATAAGTAAGTACATGCACTGAAAGAGATCAGGGCAGTTAAATCCTACCCAAAATCCAAGAGATCTTTGGAGTATTCTTTCAGAAAACAGGAAACCTGGGTTTTCTTTTGGACTCTGTCATTCCAAGTTTCTCCATCACCTCTGCCATCTGTAAAATGCTGACTGTACCAACCCCCCTCCATCTGTATCTCGGGCACATTCAGAATGGTTCCAATTAATTATAGATGAGTGCTCTAAATTCCTCGGGAGATGAGCCACAGGACTGCAGGACACTGCACCACGCGGTTTTGCTTATTTCAAAGGAGTGCAACACCCCCTCCCCGCAGCCTCCTATCTCCCACCAGCCTTTCAAAGATCAGCCTAAGGCTACAACAATAACCGAGCAACTGTAAAGCTTGGATACTCCCAGACAGGAGCCTACCTCTTGATCGGTGAAAATCTCTATGAAGTTCTGGAAGGAGAAAGAGCCGGACTGGAGAATGAGCTCTCCGGTATTTTCAAAGCACTGCCCCGTCAACACGAGCAGCTTGTGTCGGGCGGCGTCCGTGATCATTAAGCGCACCTGAAACAAAGCACGGGGAGCATGAGCCATGGGGGGCGCTGGAATCCCACCTTCAGGATCAGGCTGGCCCTTGGAGCTCTTGAAGTTTCTTACCAACAAGAATTACGCGTTCCCCGGTATTCACTTTGCCCCTGGGGTGCTGGACAGAGCCAATGACTGTGGTCACCAGCTGCCCATGAATGCCATTTTCCAAATCTGGCCACCACCAAGACAGTAGTAGGAGTTAACTTTCTCCCCTTAGTTTCCTTGTCTTTTTCAAAGCAGTCTCCACAGCTGGCAATCATTTGTTGCACAGCTGTGCCTACTAGCAGCGTGCAGTCCGTGAGACATGAGTATCTCACAGGCTGACTCACCAAGTACAGTCCAGGTCTCCCAACTGCTGCCTCAGGAAACATAGGTTTCCAGCTAGGGTCCCAAGTCAGCCCCTCCCACCCAGGACCCCTTTCCTGCCAAGCCATACACCGAACACACAGCTCCCAAAGCAGTCTCCAATGGGATCAGCAAGGTGCCTAACGTTGAACTTGAACATAAACAAAAGGCTGCCCTGATTGGGAATCTTTTAAATAGAATTGTAAACGGTTTGCACGAAAGAACTCTCTGTTCTTTAAGTGGCAGGGAGCCAGCCTGTCCTTCAGCAGAAATACCACTCCAAGCACCAAGGTTATTCATTCTGAGCCCAACTCAGTTCAGCACAAAGTGACTGCCAGGCATCATGCTAGGCACTAAGGGAGGGATGCAAAGTAAACAGGACGTGACCCACTGTCCCCACAAACCCCAGGATCCAGGGAAATGCACATGTACCGAAGTAATTGTTCCAGCCCCATCTGCTCCACAGGCAAGCCTGGGTTCCTTAAAGAAATTCCTCATTTTTTCCTTCTTCATTTCTCACAGCTGTTCCAGGCAATCTGCCTGCACATATATTCAACCTCCAGCTTTTTTCAAGTTGTATCTACTTCCTGATCCTGATGGCCAAAGACAGATTGCTAGCCCATCACTTGCCTCACCTTGTACCTTCAGGGATTGTCAGAGAGGTCCTGCTCATCTGGAGCAGATGAAATGGGATCAAAACAGGCTATATAATGAGAGCCACAAAGTGGAAGCAAACCAAATGTCCATCAACTGATGAATGAATAAATAAAAGTGGTATACCCATACATTGGAATACTATTCTGTCATAAAAAGGAATGAGGTACTGATACGGGCTACGATGTAGATGCCTCTGGAAAACACTACGTAAAGTGAAATAAGCCAGACACAAAAGGCCACATATCATATGATTCCACTGTCTGAAATAACGTGCTCAGAACAGGAAAATCCATAGAGGCAAAAAGTAGATTAGTGGTTGCCGGTGGTTGGGGGAATGGGGGTGACTGCTAATGGGCTTGGGGTTTAGGGGGCTGATGGACACATTCAGGAATTAGATACTGATGATAGTTGCACAATACTGTGAATAGACTAAACCCCAAGGAACTACATACTTTAAAAGGATGGATTTTATGGCGTGTGAGTTATATCTCAATTTTGAAAAACAAGCTACAGTCACAGAGATGCTCAGCATGGGAGAAGAGATGCTGTGGATGGTGCAGGCCCCTGGGCCTGTGGCTATTCTAACTAACATCCAAGAAGCAACTCAATCTCAAAGGTACCAAACTGCAGTAAAGACAGTGGGAAACGGAGGTGGAACAATTCTTCTACCCTGGGTGAGCAGGGATTCTTGGCGTCAGCCTAGTTCCTACCTTACAGTAGGCTCTGAAATACCCACTCTCTCTGGCAACAATTTCATATGGTGGTAATACAAATATTAATACTGAGAAAAGCCAACATATATGTTTCGGTTGTCGTATGCCATGCTGTGTTCTAAGCACTTGACACTTCTGGACACAAAACTAAATGTCAGTGCTATTATGATCTCCATTTTATAGAGGTGGAATGAGACAAAGAGATGGTCAATGACTTGCCCAAGGCCGCCAGCTAATAAGTGGCAGAACCCAGGCAGTCCAGCAGCAGAGGCCGTGCCCCTGGCAGCTGTGCTGCCCTGCCTTTCAACAGTGCTAAGGGGGTGGGCAAGATGCTCTGAAGGAGGCTTGCATCTGAGAAGCCATTGTTCTCCAAATTTGGGTCATGAAGGTCTCAGCCTGAAGGCTTGCAGTCTCCTTCCCCTGCTACCTCCCAGCCAGACTCCATCCCAGCAGCACACCCTCCAGGTATACCCCCACATTCCACACCCGCTTCACCTCTACAAAATACTCCAGTTCTGGCCAGCATCTTCCACTCCGTCCTTACTGAAAGGGGCAGTCTCGGGTGGTACTGATGCAGAGAACCAGCCACTGACTAGGGGTATGGAGGCATCCCTGGACCCAGAACCTGTCTCTCCCTTGTCCCTCTCTTGCCACCTGCCCAGCCCCTCTCATCAGCTGGGTCTCCGTCCACTGTGTGAGGCCCTGCGGAGCCAGATACTTACCTCAGTGCTGACTGCTTCATCTGAGGGGTTGATCAGGACCACTGTTTCTAAAACGTCACTTCTGTGATGAAGGATCTTTTGTCCTGCAGGCACAAAAACACAGACAAAAGAGGAGACCTATAGCTTTTCCGAATTAAAACCGCCCCGCCTGCTTCTGGGACAGCAGAGGCACTGCCGCCCAGGGCTCCAGGATTCCCCACTGTCCTGGGAAACACAGTTGGTGTCACCAAACAAGATGGTCCGGGGCTCCACGGGCTCTCACAACCCTCTAGTTGTCAGGGTTGATCGCCAGGCTGCCTCTGCGCGTTAAGGGCGGTTTTCATCTGAGACAAGGGGTGGATGCCAGTAAAACTCAACAGGGCTCTTGACATTTCCTTTCTCATGGTAATTGAGGATGTTTCTCCGTATCAGCCTTTCTTCTGGTGAGAACGGTGCTGAGATTAACTAGGAGCCTTACTATGAATGACATACCAGAAACCCCAGCTAACAATTAGCCCAACAACCAGAATGTCTGTCTGAGGCAGGCTTACAGTCTGTTGGGGGATTCATTCATTAATTCACTTGCTCATAGAAAAGTGCAGAAACTGTGAGCAAATAAAGATGGGAGAACAACTTTCCCTCTGGAGAGGGTGGCCAAAAAAAAAAAAGACAAGCAAAGTGGATGGAGACCATGAAAGCAAGGGGACGTGAGGATGAAGGAGCCTGTCTGAGGAGGGCTGAAATTCTTCGGGGCTTTTGGCTCCCCGCACCCGAAAGGATTTAGGAACTTCAGGTGGCCAGCATGGTCTACGGATGACCTTCTACAAGCGTCTCCCTCCTCAGACAATGAGATGAAAGTGATCAAGCGGATGTATGGCCAGAGTGGGTGATACATGCTCTGGCAGTGGGTGACGGACAGAGCTGCAGAGGGGTGTCCCTCAGACACACGGCTGGGAGATACGTGCTTGGGATGGTAGAAAAGGAAGGACAATGAAGCACTGGTGACAGGAGGAAATGGAATAGAATCTGAGGGAGACAGACACCAACGGAGAATATACAAGAGAGGATGGCCAGAAAGCAACTGCTTTCCAGGCAAACAGTTCTTCCAAAAGCTAAAACAGAATTTCTCTATGGCCTAGCAATTCCACTTTAGGTGAACTGAAAGTAGGAACTTGAAAAGAGACTTGTAGGTCCATGTTCACTGCAGCATTTTTCACAATAGCCAAAAGGTGGAGCCAACCCAAGTGTCCACCGATGGATGACTGGAAAACAAATTATGGTCTATCCATGCAGTGGAACATAATTCAGCCATAAGAAGGAATGAAGTTCTGATACATGCATCAATACGGACCTTGAAAACACGCCAAGTGAAATAGGCCAGACGCTAAAGGACAAATAATTGTATGACTCCATTTACATGAACTATCTAGAGTAGGCTAATTCACAGAGTCAGAGAGCAGATGAGATTTACCAGAGGCTGCAGGGGGAGGGATTGGGGAAGTTACTGCTAAATGGGTACGAGTTTCTCTCTGGGGTGATGAAAAAGTTTTGGGAGTAGCAGTGATGTTGCCTAACACTGTGAATGTAATTAATGCCACTGAATTGTACATCTAGTAATGGTTAAAATGGCAAGTTTCGTTTTTTATATATATTTTACCAGAAATGAAAAAAAATTATTAACGCAGTGTATCAAAACCATTGAAAAGCACATTTTAAAGGGGCGAATTATATGGTGTGTGAATTGAATCTCAATAAAGAGGTTAAGAAAAAAAAGAAGGTGGCTTTAGCTAGGGCTTTTTTCCTTTATATCATCAAGGAGCAGAAGAACTACAGAAACAGAATATTTTGAAATACTTACCACCATCACATTGACGAGCCCATTTTCCTCCATTGTCTTATCTTTGCTAACAGCTAGTATTTACCAGTAAACCCCCACATTAGAAATGGAAAAAGCCCAAAGTAAATAATCGTTTCAGGCACTGTTCCAAGCCCCTCAAAGTACTAATGCATTTAGTCCGCAGAAGAGCTCTATGACAGAGGTACCATGATTATCCCCTTTTACTGTTGAGGACAGTGAAGCCTATAGAGGAGAACTAACGAGCCCCAAGTCACAGAAGTGGTCACGCTGGGACCTGCACCCAGGCTCCTGAGCCCTCCGCCTCACTGCTCTGTGGATGAGGGTTTGGAAAAACAGACATGGTGCAGACGTCGAATGCCAAAGGGAGAGCTTGGGAAAAATCCAAAGGAATAAAATCAGAGATGTGCTTAAAGAAGCAAGAACCCAGAAAGCATGAGGAGAAGAATATTGGCAAAAAGAAGAAAACAAAGCGAAGGTGACAGAACACCCACATAAAAGAGGGTGAAGTTAAGGGAAGGGACATGACGTTTTACTACAAATGCCTGGAAGTGAAGAAACTCCAAAACAGAACAGTGTCACACAGTTTGAGCACGTGAAGGACTAAAGCCTCAGGAAAAATAATCCAACTAAGCCATGGCAAAGAACATTTGTTTACTGTGGACGCTCAAGCCTGTAACTTATTAGACAGGCTTTTTGGCTTAGTTGTTTTTGCTTTTGACGAGCATGTGCATTTCAAGCTAAAGCGAAAGAACATCAAACTGAATTAAGCAAACGATAAAACGACAATCAGCAAAACATAGAAAACCGTCCCTTTTCTAGGTCCTTCCATCAGTGGCCTCCTCGAAACAAAGACTTCAGGAGCTTCAGAGGTGCTTAAGTTGAGGTGAAATTACGCGAAAGCTTAAGACTAAGGAAAAGTGAGTGTTCATTTCCTCGATCGTACTTTGGACGTGCCTCCTTCTGGCACCCAAAGCCTCAGGCAGCATAATGCCAAGGTGGGGCTGTGGTCATGGCTATACTCTGTAGGAACCCACAAAAGTAGATCCAGCGAGGTACATGGAAGCAGCTCCTTCCCCAGAGCTCCTCTTTCCTAAGTGATCTACACAGTGCCCAGACCCTGCTAGCTGCACCCTCCCAAATGCAAGTCCAAGCACAAAAGCCCAGCACCCCCTCCCCGAGACACGCAGTGAGGACCCTCCTGCCAAGCCCCCTGGAAGGGGGTTCTTACCATCCTCAAGAAGTTCCTTTCCTCTTTGGCTTCATCACTTGCAAACAACACAAACGCCACGTGACAGCTGCCGTTTACCTCTACTCCTTCCAAGTCAGTTTTTGGACCTGTTGGCTCAGGAATTCAACCAAGGACGTTTTCTCTGCCCATCTTTGGAAATACGGACAGCAGTGACACAGACATGCACCAAGATGCCATGGCTGCTCCTTCAACAAAAGCCTTTTTACAGGATGGGATTTGAATGAAGAAGGGGATTTAAAGAGAGAGAGAGAGAAGCTTCAAGCTCTCATCACAGCCGACTGTTGGCCAGATTCTCGCCCCAGACGACCGACAACGTAAGCAGGGGCCGGGCCTTCCTGGCATCTGGCAGACCCAGGGCCTGCACGAGGGGCCCGGGCAAGCCATGCCCGCACTCCCACATCCCAGTGGGGTGCCAGCTCTCCTGGCCGCAGGCGGCTCTGGGCTCGGGCTGCTGCGACGCTCACGAAGTTGCATATTTGGGGAATGTTTCACACTGGGAAACAGGCCAGGCATTCTGAAGGAGAGGCCACCACCCTCGCCTGCAGAGGTCTCATTCAGTTGCTTCAGAAAAGAAGTTCCCAGAAGAGAAAGACAACGCGGTTGCAGCCTCTCTCTTTGCCATTATCGCCTGCATTCTCCAGAAACAGCTCACAGGGAAACCATTAGGCAGCCCGGATGAATAGTCAGGTCTCCTCAGCACTGGTCTGGGGGCACCAGAAGCGGGGGCTTGGGATGGACTGACTGTGTCACTTACTGCCGTGATAAGAAAAAAAGGTCCTTGAGGGCTTCCCCACAAAACTCAGGGTCACTGTGAAGGCTCAATCCTGGGCGGCAGGGAGGGCGGGGGGGACTGTTATGTGACAAAAAGGGGTGTGCTGCACCTCGGAATCAAAAGAGGAAGGCCTGGGGACCCCCTGAAGCAGCAGGGCCTCACACACAATGAGACTTTTGTCTGTGGGCTCCCAAAGGCTATGCTTAAAACTCAAATAAGCCTGTATTTTTCAGCTATTGTTGGACCCTTTTTTAATTACTGAAATTCTGACAGATTAACTCAATCTATGTGTCTTGTAAGGTTGGGCTGTTTTAGTGGTTTACGTTTTACTGTATCCAGGTGACTTTGAAATCTCTGAAAGCAAAACGTCATTTTCTAGGTATTTGATTTTTAGGACGCTTATAGGGTCTTATCTCCACAGAGTTAATATTCATCTAAAGACGCACAGACACGCACACACACAGGCTCTCTCCTGGTTTCAGAAGGGTCCGACCGTGGCTAAATTAAAAGACACGCACTGTTGAGGAACAGCCATAACCCAGCCCCATAAAACTCAGAGCCTTCTCGCCGGCACACAGCTCCCCTTGTCTCCCACACACATCTCACACGTCGGCCCCAGAACACACGGGCCTAGGAGGCTGTGGCGTCTCCGCTGCCAGGCCAACACCAGCCACGGTCTCAGCCCCGGCAGGCAGCGCTTAATGAAAAAGCTGAGCGCAAAGGAGAGAGTGCTGGGCCCAAGCTGCAGGGGCGCTAAGAGATGGGAGAAAATCCTTGATGAAAATAATAACCAGTAACGCTAAAACCTTTCAGATTGTCTTTAAGAGGAATGATAGCTGCATATCTTGGGGATGACTACGTAATTTCCATTTCCATGAATGATCGCAATCCAGAACCTTATCCCTACAACTTGCTTTTCCTAAAAAATGAACTCTTGTGAGCATAATGAAGAAATGGATATGAAGAATAAAGATAGCTTCTGTATCCATTCAGTATCGGGGGGCGGTGAGGAGAAGCGTCCTGAACCACTGATAGGGACGGACCGGTAACTGGGACGGGAGAAGAAGAGCCCTCTGCCCGCCAGCCCTGCCCTTTCCTCCGCCAGCTCCCGCCGCTGCCCTGTCTTCACCCACAAGTCCTCCAGCCCCTGGCCCTCGTGAAAATCAGAGTGGACTCTTTTTGGAAAAGGAATTTGATATAATGATTTAGCACTA